TTGCAATGGCTGAACGTGGCAGTTTCGTAACGGCAAAAGAAGGACGCACTTCACTTTCTGAATGACCCCTAACGCGCCGTGGCCCATGGCCCCTATGGTAGGAAAATCCGCAACGAACCCCTGGCACTATTCTGGTAACTGTACGTCAGAGTTCCCCGAGGTACTGTCGATACGGCCAAATGCATGAGTTTCACCGATTGCCACGAAATACTATTCTTTGCAAACGGCTAAGATTTTATTTTGTCTCGGGTTCAACACCTAGTCCTAGTGGGCATCATTTCACGACATACTACAAACAGGAGTGCATCGTGGGCGGTAAACGTCGAGGGTCTCAGTTGGCGTTGGCACTTCTGGATTTCGACCTACCTTACGATGGTTGCCATATATGCCCATAGGGCTGCCCCTGCTCCTGCCCGAGCTGAGTCCCCCGGCCAGCAGAGTCCCGTCCTCCTCGACATCACTGGGCCAGATGGAGAGCAGCGCGTCGTCGTCGACCAAGCCCATGTCGCCCTTCAGGAGGGCGTTCTCGCGGCCGCTGTTACTCAACCAGGTTGGCCGCCAGGATCGCATAGCGGGAAGTGGGGCAGGGCATTTAAAATAATAAAATAGTGAATCTGTATATTCGCTGGCTGTGACACAGGACCCGTGTCCGCCGGCGCCCAGCCCCTCGGGCCACGGCTTCCTGCCCGACGTGATGCCGGCTGACGTGCGCGCCGAGCTGCGCCACGGCCTCGGGCGGCGGTCCGACCTGCACGCCGAGCTGTGCGCCGACATGGGCCTCTTGAGCGAGACGCTGTCGCGGCGGGCCTCGAGGGAGCGACTCATCCGCCGCCAGCTGCTGGGCCAGAGGATCGACAGGAACCGGTGAGCACCGCCCTGATTCGTTTCGTGTTTCCATCGCAAAACCGACGAATCATCCTGGCGGTACCGAGCGCCCGCGGGTCGTAGTTCTCTGCAGGAGGTGGCCAGCCTAGACGACTCCAGGGGCGGGCTGCCGACCACCTCGACGTCCAACATGTCCCTCTCCGCCACCAGGCTGCCCGAAATCAACACACTCCATGATAGTACCTCAGCCAGGTCAGCCGCTAAAAGTCATTTTCTGACGCATCTTCCGATAAGCATAAATTATGCGTCGCATAATAAGCGATTTCCTGTTGAATCATTGCACACAGAAGTTTATTAGCCAAGAAACCTTCGTCCGAGTCCCAAGATGCGAGGGTTGCCAAAGACGACCAACAGACACATAACAGCAGCTACGACGGTGGTGACGATGGAAACGACGAAGTTCAGGCACGTCGTCACAAAATCTA